CAATATGAGTCAGAGGGACTTGATAAATATTTCCAAGGACACTCTAGATGCCTCACCTTAGTGGGTGTGTAATTGCCTGTAAAATTCAGAATTGAAACAAGCAAAGTTGGAATAAAGGGGAATGGTTAAGAATTGTATTTCTACTTTCTTAAGACCATTGCCAAAGTAGCAGGTGGCAAATTCATTGGAGAGCCACAGGAGGAAAATGGGTCTTGGCAGACGGCCAATGATTTGGGGTGACTGTAATGCAGCCCATGGACATAAATTGAGGAGCATTTCATTTATTTTCAGGGTGTCACTAGTTTTATAGTGCGTTTTGCTTTGGAGCATGCTATTAACAGAATATTTCCCACCAGGTTAGGAAAAATTATTGCTCAACTATTTGAAGCCAGTAATTCTGGATTGTGACTAACTTTGTGGCATAAAATAGTTTTTCTGTAAGGGCTCACATGAATTTGAAGACCTGAGAAAAGTGTGAATATTTATAAATAGAGTTACAGTAATTAAAATGTGTTATGCATTCATAAATATTGACCTTCACATCAGTGGCCCTGAATACACAGCCCAGAAACAGTATACCATCTATGCTAGAATTTAGCACGTAATGAAGGTAGCATTCCAAATGACTAAATCAGTTTCCAATAAATTACAGAATACAAAATAAGTATTTAAAAAACACACAAGAACTTTCTTACATGACAAATTTCCTAGAAAAACAATGGTCAGCAATTGGCAAATAATAAAACTTTTGGCTCTGCTCTTCCAATAGACAAACCTCTTATTCTGTTCACTGAATTGACTATCAGTTTCTAAGCAAGCTCTCCACAGGGTAATCTCATTCTCTCCATTGAAAAGACGTATAGTTACTTGAGTCACATTTTATCTCTATCGCTGACTTCTTTTAATGTATCTATGTCCAGTTATCAACAGAACATCTTCATCTGGCTGTCCCAAAACATTAAAATCATTATACCTCAATTGAATTTAATCTATTTTTTTCTCAACTCATTCCTTCTCCTCCCCATAACCTGAAAACCTTGGAGACAGCCTAGCTTTCTTCTCTTTTCTTAGCCAAATACCCTCCACATATCCAATCAGTTTTCAAGTCCTATTTGATTCTATTTTTAAATTCTCAACCTCAGGATATGTTTTTATTTATTTTAGAGAGAGAATAAGGGAGGGATGGAGAAAGAGAGAGAGAAGGAGAAAGAGAGAGAGAGAGGAAGAGAGATCATGTGAGAGAGAAACATCGATCAGTTGCCTCATACTTACCCCAACTGGGGATCAAACCTGCAATCTAGTTATGTGCTCTGACTGGTAATCAAACTCATAACTTTTTGTTGTATGGGACGATGCTCCAACCAGTTGAGCCACACCAGCCAGGGACATTCTATCCTATCAAATAGAGAGGGAATATGCAAATTGACCATCACACCATCACAAATATGGTGGAAGCCACAGATATAAGATGGCGGCACTCAGTTCCCTCAGCTCCACTGGAGTCCCCCAGTCCTTTCAGCCCCATCACACCTCTGCTGCTGCCACTGCCGGTAGCGCAGGCCTTGGCTGGCCCTGGTTACTTGAGCCTCAGGTGGCCTTGGGTGGCTGGGCAGCCACCATTTGAAGCTTGCCCGCACCTCGGGCTGGCCCTGGACAGCTGGGGGGCTGACGGGACTGGGTGCTTCCATCTTGTGGCTGTGGGCATTGCCATATTTGAAGGTGTGGTGGTAAATTAGCATATTCCCTCCTTATTAGCTATGGGCACCGCCATCTTTGTGGGGGCATATTCCCTTATTTATTAGATAGAATTATTGTATTATTTTGCATATGAACAACTTTAAACCTATTTTGCTCCATTCCATACATAAATAACCTTATGGAGGGACACCTGTCTTGTCCATCTCTGCCTTCTTATCACCAAGCATAGGGCCTACACAAATAATAGTTGACCAAAAGAATATCTTATTTTATACTTTTGCTTTTCTTTTGGGTTAAGTTTTCATGGCCTGAATAACTCCAATTTAACATTTAAGAAAGTTTAACTTTTGACATTTAAAGTTACATTATCTCCAGTATTTGATTTCAAGCCCAATTAACCTAAAGCGATATTCAGTTGCTAGAGAGCTAAAGATAAGGATCTGTGAACTGAGATCTAGCTCTGATTGTGAAACTGACCCTTTCTAAGCAATTATGTTGTTTTGCTATGCTTCATTTTCTCCAGTAGGAAAATGGCCCCAGTAATTCTTATCTACCCTCTTCACCAAGAACTGTTACAGCAATGATTTTTTCTATTAATGGCATTATATTAAAAATTATTTTTGCATTATTAGAAATGATAAAAATATACATTCATAAAATTAACATAAATACATGTACATGACTTAAAAATAACATGTTATTACCTTTGAAAAGTACATTTTATGCTACATTTGGACATAACATTCTGCAACTTGCTAAGTATTCTATAATTTTTCTCATTCATTTGACTTTTCTGAAAGAGAAAGAGTAATCTTCTGAAAGAAGCTAAGATGAATTATATGCTCCTAAGATATTTTAATGCTTCTATTTTGTCCCATATTCAATATATATATATATATATTATATATTTAAAAATACTTTTTGTATCTTACTTACAAAAATCTATTTCTCTCTAGGACAATGGTTGGCAAACTCATTAGTCAACAGAGCAGCAAACCCCGGCTCTCCAGCCGCATGTGGCTTGCAAGCTGCAGTTTGCCAATCACTGCTCTAAGAAGCTGGCAATACTCTCAATATATACAAGGCCATTTTGCACAGAGGCCATGCTAATCTTCTCTGTATTGTTCCAATTTTAGTATATGTGCTGCCGAAGTGAGCACTACAAGGCCATTTTGAACACCACATAGTGTTTGTTCAACCCTGGTATCCCATTAAAAGGACTTGGGAAGCTAAAAAAAAAAACCCAAAAAAACCAAACCAAAACAACAAAACAAAACAAAACAAAACAAAAAACACCCTGATTCCTCAGTCCTACCTCAAACCATTTACTGAATATCTGGGGATGGACTTTGGGCATCGTATTTTTAGAAGCTTCGCAGACATCCTACAAAATACTTGACTGGCACACCTTAACAAAGAAAGTCTGAGAAACTGTCACTGAGCACAGGAACCAAAGGAGACATGATGACTAAATATAATATAGTATCTAAAGTGAGATCTTGGAAGAGAAAAGGGATATTAGTGAGAAGACCCTGTGAAATAGTGAGCCTAATTGCCAAATGCCAACATGTATGGCCCTAAAAATCTGCCACCTTAAAGCAATAACCTGCTTTATTTATATATTATTAGAACAGATTACATTTCTAGAGGCACTCCCAGTGGAAAGCAATGCACTAATTTTAATAGATAATTATAATCATAATTCTGAAATGAATTGCCTCCAAGATGCAAGAATTCAAGAAAGAATGCATAAAGGAATAAAAAAAAATTACTCACAACCCATTTCTCAGAAAGGTAAGTTTAATTTTTACATCTATGAAATATATAAAAATCTGGGTTAAATATGTCTGCATTATGGTACCCTAGGGGTTTGAGAAAATTGTGATTTATCTTTGCTCAGTGCTGTTGGCAGTTTGTTTCTTATCTATAAAGGAGATTGAGACCTGATCAGAAAGTTATTCAGTTTTGAGTTAATTTTCCTCTCTTGCCTCTTCCACTGCGGTGGGAAGGAGGCAAAGAATAAAGATCCCCTAGGCTTCCATAGTGAAGTCTACCTGGATTTGGCCCAGTCACATTCTCTTTTCATAACCATTAAAGATATTGGTCATGTGAGTTGATCTCTAGAGCAAAGTCAGAATTGTGCCTGAAGAAATCACTCTGCACAAGTAAACATTGGGCAAACAGCAAGTGGTTGAAGATGGTGTTTCAAAAGCTCACTTTTCATTTTTTGCACACATTATCTTGTTTGAATAAAAATGAGTAACTTACAATCCAGAATTCCTGTGCAGCATCAAATGAACAAACAGTAATAACAGCCTGTGGGTAGCCACATAGGTTACAGCCAAGATCCCTAACTCCACGTGACGTAAGGTTAAAAAAAAAATTCTCTTTTTGCAGCCTATCTCAGTTTTCTATCTGTAAAAAAAAAAAAAAAAAAAAAAAAATGAATGTATTGAACTAAGCAATCTCCAATGTTCCTTTCAATTCGGACTTTGGGATTTGGGGAGAGGGGCTTTGAGAAACAGACGAGAGTTTTTAAGATTTTAGGTAGGGCTTTGGGTTCTAATGGGCGAGATGATGTTGAAAAAGCGGTTTGCAAGCTGGCGTTTCTAGTACCCCGGATGCTGTTAAAAAACAACAACACAAAAACTTACCATAATCCAATAGGGGAATCATGACAAAATATTGACCCATTTACGTTTGTACCACAAGCATTAGTTCCAGACCTGTGACGTACCAGGCATTGTTCTAGGCATGATGGTTTTCTAGATCTCTGTGATCAGAACAATGACATATTTAACATTTTATCGTTTCTAGCGATAAAAATGGGTAAAGGCGTAAGAGTAAGACAGTGACCTGTTGGAGGGTCAACTCTGTGATTGGCAGAGTAAGAAGAGCGTTCGGCTGCTAGGCAACCGCGCCTCTACGGGGGAGGCTGAGGACCCCAGCCGGAGGTGTCTAAGTAGCGCCTCTTACTTTAGTTACGCTGCCTTCTTCTCGAAACGAATGAAACATGTAGTCTTTAATAGTACCCATTTTTTTGCACGACTTTTGGCAAGCCCTAGAGTATGGGCGACCCTGCAGCTGAGTTCTGTTTGCGGTGTGTGTGTGTGTGTGTGTGTGTGTGTGTGTGTGTGTGTGTGTGTTTTTCTGTCTCCTGTTTTCAGGCGCACTGTGGGCTGCCCTCTGACTAGGCCCCTGCCGCCGCGTTGCCGGGCAGAACTGGACGCTGCCCGCTCCTCCTTGGTCCCGCCTTCCCTCCCGGGGTCTGTCCGTCCGTCCGTGGTCCTTCCCGGGCAGCCATGGGCCCAGAGATGGAACCGCTGTTCCTGGCCTGGAGCTATTTCAGGCGCAGGAAGTTCCAGCTCTGCGCCGATCTGTGCACGCAGATGCTGGAGAAGTCCCCTTACGACCAGGTACCCGCCAGACCCCATCGGCCCTGCGGATCCTGGGGACGAGGCAGGGGGCTCCGGGGACGCCCAGGCCTCCGGGCGGGGGGCTCCGGGGAGGAAGGCCCGGAGTTAGGCTGACTGTGTGGTTAGTTAGCCCAGACACCGGGAGCGAGACCCCTGGAGCCGTGGCCGGGGTCTCGCTCCCGTCAGCGGCGCACCCGAGTCCCCGAGGGACCCCCAGGATGGCTGTGCCATGGTCACCCCCTCCTCCAACTCTGGCGGTGCTTTTACTTCCTTCAAGGGTCCCAGAAAGGAACATTTAAGTCCCCGATTTTTACTTGCATGTGGATGGGCTCTTAAACTCGCAGTATGTGCGTTGTTAATTTCTAAAAACAATTATAGAGAAACTTAAGGATCTGTAACTTTCTACCTCCTGGTGCAATAGCTGCCTTTTTCTTTTCTTTCTTTTCTTTTCTCTTCTTTCTTTTTTTTTCTTTTTCTTTCTTTCTTTTTTTTTTTTTTGGATTAAATGTGTGATCCTTTCACTTCCTCTTAAACTGTTATCCAAGAGGGGAGTCTTTGATTTGATTTGGGGGCTTGAGTGCAACTTATGGCCAATAAGACCAATTAGAGGAACCCAGGAGGGGAAAAGATACATTTATTATTAAGAGAGAGAAGAAATGGTGACTATGATTAAAAGAGATTTTAAATAAACCACAGCTGATAGTTGAACTTCTCTTCAAGTGTAATCTTCCGTAAAGCGGAGGAATAGGTCATATAACTTGATGCATGTGTGAGAGGTACTGGTCTGGTTGACAGGTAATTCCTGGGAGAGGCAAAGGGGAGACCAAGGGAGAATGGGAGCAGAGCTGTGGTAGTTAGTCAGGGCTTCTAGGAAATGCAAAATAGAGTTCTTGTTTCCAAGCTCTTTCTCTAGTTAGCAAAAACAAAAAACACACAAACACATAAAAAACAAAAACAAAAAAAAACAAAGAGGGGAGATGCATAAGCAGAGGCAATGAGAGTGAACACTCCCAGGAGGCTGTGCGGTAGGTCCCAGCAAATGGATGGAGGATAACCTGTTGAGGTGGACATTTTGGCCTTCAGATAGACAGTCCATTTCCCCTAGAACAATCCATGTTAGTGGAAACGCCAGGCTAGTTTCTCTTTGTGTTAGGTAATAGGATTGTGTTTCTGTGGGCAAGTATTTTTCCAAGTGTGCTTCTTGGGACAGTAGAATCCCGGATGCTGTTAAAAAACAACAACAACACAAAAACCATAATCCAGTAGGGGAATCATGACAAAATATTGACCCATTTACGTTTGTACCACAAACATTAGTTCCAGATCTGTGATGTACCAGGCATTGTTCTAGGCACGATGGTTTTCAAGATCTCTGTGGTCAGAACAATGATTAATGTTTCACCAGGAAGAGAAGTTTAGCTTGATGTTATCTTGCAAAACTGGGCTTTTGGTATATGGATAGGGCTGCTGAAAAGTTTATAGGGTTCATTCATGTTAGATATCCTTTGAGCCAACCTTTAAACACCATACTTGTGGACTGTGTGCTTTTCTTAGTACCAGTTTCAGTATTTTGAGCCCAGTTGTTATTTCAATTTGGACATATTTCAAGCCTGCTTTTCCCAACCTTGAAGAAATTCTGCTTTTTTCTTAATTAAAAAAAAAAGGAGATATTTGTGTTTAGAGTACTGAATTAATTAAGGGAGAGCTTTAGGAAGCTTAAGGAGGTTCCTTTGAGTAAAAACTTGACAAATGCTCTTTCCTTTCCTTAGAACGAGTCCAGGATGGCAGGTCTGTAAGGTATTCACAGAGTCTGGCCCCCAGGGGCTGCCGTTGTGTATTTGCTGAATGAGCGCATTAGTCATATGCATGGATGCATTTTGATGGCATTATTAATGTTTATGAAGATCATCCTCGTTGCCTGATGATCATCACTTCCAACCCTTGCCCCTCAGCCTTTTTTTTTTTTTTTTAAATAACTTCCCTCCTCTTGCACTTTAAAAAAAACACACACAAAAAAAACCATTTTTTTTTTTTTTCAGAGGGGTAGGGAGAGGGAGAGAGAAATAGAAACATCAATGATAAGAGAGAATCATTATTGGCTGCATTCTGCCTGCCCCCACTGGGGATTGAGCCTGCAACCTGGGCATGTGCCCTGACTGGGAATCAAACCGAGACCTCCTGGTTCATAGGTCGATGCTCAACCCCTGAGCCCTGTAGGCCGGGCGCCCCTCATCCTTTTTTTTTTTTTTTTTTTTTTTTTAATATATTTTTATTGATTTTTTACAGACAGGAAGAGAGAGGGATAGAACGTTAGAAACATCGATGAGAGAGACATTGATCAGCTGCCTCTTGCACACCCCCTATCGGGGATGTGCCTGCAACCAAGGTACATGCCCTTGACCGGAATCGAACCTGAGACCTTTCAGTCCACAGGCCGATGCTCTATCCACTGAGCCAAACCGGTTTTGGCCGCCCCTCCTCCTTAATTCTCAGGACCATTGGTTCTTAAATGTACATTTATATTTTCAAATAAATGTATTTGCATTATGGACATAACTTAATTCATTTCTTGTTAATTAGTCCAGAAAATTCTTCTTGGATCCCTCCAGGAGAGTGTTTCTAATAGTAATTATCCTCTCTGGTATTTATCCTGTGCCACCAAACTGGTCTTGGTACAAATGAATGATTTTGAAGCAGTGCTGGGATACACAGAAGAGCAAGGAAATGACATTATTTCTTTGGATGCCAAATGGATTCATGTTTGCTCTTACTTTTTTCCAAAACAAAACAGCTTTTGCTTTTGATGTTCTTGTTTTTTTCCTTTTCATTTTGCTTATTTTTTCTCCCAGATGAGAAGAACCTCTCCATAGTGATTTATTATTTGTTAAGCTTCAAAAAGATAACATTTCAGTCTTAATACATCAGCCTTTTTGGATGAAGCCCATCTTTGAGACTACTTTACATTTACTTCTCCTCTCAGGGATATCATTTTGACATACCTCCCTCAAAAATATTTAATTAATGCCTTGTGCTTTTTATTGGGACATTTTGGGTTTTATTTAATTTTGAGTCTTGTCAAAATTGAGGCAGTTCGGTTGGCCAGAGAGGTCTAATACACTATGGAATAGCATGTTTCTTTAGAGTAGTACATTTTTATATGGATACAGAAGAACTGAAGGGTAGGTTGAGTGTATTGACATGGTGGTTGATGGTGGGAAAAGGTTCATGAAGAAGGTGGATTCTGAACTGCTTTTACCAGGAGCAGAATGGTGAGACACAGGGCAGGGTCTGTAAGCTAGAAGGGCACTCATTAGGGTTCTGGTCAGTTAAGAGTAAAGAGAGAAGGATAATTGGTTAATTTAGCATAGTTTCCCCGTTTGATAAAGTAGGGCAAGAACAAGCTATTCATAGAGAGGCATTGTCTTTTTTTTATCATGGCTGAAGAAGTTGTTAAAAGTGACAAGATGTGAAGGGGAGAAACGCCTTCCACACACCAGGCTGACCCCGAGGGAGAGGTTGCTTTTACAGGATGTGGGTCATCCTGATTAGTGGCTTAATCTGATTACTGTTCTTTGCCCTCCATATGTCAGATGGATGGCTTGAAACCCAGTTCTGATGTTTTAGCTCCATTATATTGAAACAGTTCATAAAACGGAGGTTTTTCAGGCACTGAGTTTGTTTGTTTGTGTTTTGTTTTTGTTTGACAATCGGTTAGATTTCCAACTTATTAAATTCAGTGATTCTGGAAGCCGTATATCAGAACAGGGGGGTCACTCACATTCTCCTTCCCTACCGCTAATCTCTGCCTGCAGTGAGAGATGTTATAGAGAGGAAAAGGTTACTATTGTAACCTCCCTCATGGTTTGAGGGAGGCTAAGAGCCACTGGCTTAGATGAAAGATAGGGAATCAGGGCTCCCCAGTGACTTCTCTGTTAGTAGCTGGTTGAGATAATGATCTAGAGATCCAAGCCAAAAAGCATCTTTCTGCATGATTATCTAATTTATTTCCTCTTTGGGGCCGTGGAGACTTAGCCACACTTAGTCTGTTGGTTCTGTACCCTATGGAGCAGTTCATCTTATGATTTTATATTCCTGCTGAATTATACAGATTACATTCCCACGTGGCTACTTGGTTACTAAATCTCCCTAACCTTCTGAAATCCATCCATGTCTCTGTCCCCTTACTTCCCCCCTCCCTTCCTGTTATTGTTAAATTCTGAATAATAGCCCAGAAGAGTAGGTAGGTTCATTAGCTGGAGTGAGTACTGGTGACCATTAGGAAGTCACATTCAAAATTATCTGGAGACTTAACTCCCTGAAGCATTACCAGCAGACTGAGAGAAAGCCTTAGTGCAGGGAGGAAGGGAGGAGACAGACTGACGTGAATTGAAGTTGATGCTAATGGGTATTTGCTGGTTGTAGGCGGTGCCACTCTGCTGTCCATGTCCTCTCGCTCACTTTGAAGGAGATCCAAAGAGAAGTTTTAATTTACGTACCTTCTGAGTTCTGACAAGGGAAGTCATAGAGAGTTTGGTGCTTCTTCATTCATTAGGTAGATGTTTTTATAGAGAAATTCTGTGTGATTGATAACTCCTGTCCAAGGTGCTACCGCCTTACACTTCACTGACAATGACAATACGTCTGAAAGAATTCCGAAAATTATTACATTTTCTTAAAAGTGCAAAGTTTTATGCTATAAAGTGGGCACTGTTACTCCAATCTGAGCGGAGGACTAGGTAATGGAGGTTGCATGACATGCTCAAGGTCACGCAGCCAAGCGGCTCCTGAGGACCAAGCCCAGGTCTTCCGACTCTAGGGCTAGGCCTGGTGCTTTCCGCTCAACTGTGTGGATGTCCATGGAAATAATTTGCTAGACCAAGCAAACCTCCCTTGTGGTTCCTTATAGGGGTGGGTTAATGAAAATCACAAAACTATCATTGAGAGAGATCCAAAGATGCCTCAATGATTTTTAAAAAGTTTTGCCTTATCTCTAAATTATA